AAACTCACAAACACACACACACACACAGACATACATTCACACACACACACACACAGACATACATTACACACACACACACACACACACATATATATATGTATATATATATATATATAATTTTCATCTATGACCCGCATGTTACCACGTGATTGAAATCGCATTATTGCCTTTTTCTAAATGAATCGCACGATGTACAGTGGTGAAGGGGAGCCACATCTTACTGAAAAAATTGTAGGGTGTCCATTGGAATGTGGGAATGTGTACTGTTCCAAAAAGTGCCGCGATGCCGACCAAAACGAGCACGGCCACTCTCTGTTGTGCGTAGGGCAAATAGACTCTCTTGATCATCCCTTGTACCAATTCAAGGTTCATTCGCTGACAACACAGGTAAGTTAGTAGTCATATGTACTGTAGGAGTGCATATACACATGTGCATGCCTCACCCTCATAAGGCACGTATATTCATATGAGACGTACAAGGTATTCGTGGGTATGCATTTTTCTGTATTTAAAACTACACGTTGTTTTGCATCTTTGTTGATACTCTACCTTTATATAGATCAATACATTCCGAAGACCCCGGGAAACTGTTCTGAGTCTACTGGAGATTGAGCACAGTGAGTGATATATGTAGTGATTTCTATTATCAGTACAAGTCTGCGCTTGTACGTTGGGTCCATAGCGCCTACGACGTTCAATTTCTCTATAGCAAACGTACAATGAATACTATATCTGCCAGCTCTCGTGTTGAATCTCCTTCATGAATCCTATCGTACAACTCTGAGTATAGACGAGCTCGCCCTACACCTCGATTATATACCGAACGTTCTCCATATCAACATACACAGGAGGAATTCCTATTAGCAGCCAAGGCACTGGCCGTGATGATGGGTGTGCTATGGGCAGCTGACGAAGATGAGCAAGGCGGCACTCTCGCGCAGAGTCTGTTGAAACCCTACGCACACTTCCAGTCGGGCGTTTGGTGGGACTTAGCTGGTGTGTGCTGGATTTGGCTTGTCCGTCTACGCTTACTGTGCGTTGTAAGGTTCTACTGGCTTAGGCATATATTAAATACGTATTTTCTCGAGCATATGTACGACTTGGTACCTACCGGTAGACCCCGTTCTATCAAGAATACAATGAGGAAATACACCACTCGAAGTGACTCGGCAATAACTGTGTGTGTATCAGATTCACGACTGGTACGGTTTGTCTTGTTCACCATCCTGAAATAAATGCCATCTCAATTGCACACTGCCACACCGACAGGCGGACAAGAAATGGCGGGAGTTCTGCAAGCCCAGGCAACCGAAGCCTTCCAGCTGCTACAGGCTGCCTGGAGTGACCTGGGCCACTTACCAGAGAACACACATGGTATCATGTCCATGGACACCTTCAATCGCCTACTGTCCATCTTCCACCTGAACAATGTGGGAGTGAGGCGAGTGTCGCCGATTAGTCGGTATATGAAGGTATGTCGAACGGGTGTGTGGTCAGGGGTTATAGGCATGTGGGTTTGGGTCTATACGCAACGGTAGGTGTGCACACACGCATGGCGGTGGAGGCTGACGTAGTCGGGGCTCTCAATGGGCTGTGTCTTCTGGGCTCTTTGTGGTTGAGTTTTTTAATGTGCGTGTGGAGGAAGGGTGTGAAAACTGTGTGTGTGGGTGATGGGTGTGTATAGCGGAGATGATGTGAATTCGCAAACACCATTGGATTGTGTACAGATGTGAGAGCACAGAATGAATGCACTATCCAACACCCCCTACTCACACTCTAAAATCAATATCTCAGGGTATAACACACTCTAAATCAATAACTTAGGATATAACACACTCTAAATCAATATCTCAGGATATACCACTCCCACTCCTTTGTCTGTGTTTATTCTTTCTTATATGGTTAGCAAACATTCTGTGGCAAAGCTATCAGACGTGATGGTGTAGGATGAGATAGGCTATACGCCAATGTTGGATGTGGTTATCTGATCTATAAATAGAACTTTCGAGGTGCTTCGTTGGCATCTGTAGCTACTTATTTGGTACATTCAGATCACAGCAGAACTATTGACTGGAAAGTGCGGTACATTGTAATCGATATGTCTGTGGCACACATGGACTCTACGTATAGTCTGTATCTAAGTGACTTTTCGGTTGCTACACACCAGTAGCAACATATCTATATATTCTACCAGATGCCACCCTTCTACCTGTACCGAAACAAGTCTCTTGTATACTACGAACAGATAGCATCACAGCTATCAGACGCGGCAACCCAAGACGAGATATTTGATACGTTGATGTCACACGTGGACCCTATTCTGATGGGGGACGGGTGTGACGACAGCGACTGTGACGACAGCGACTGTGACGACCGGGAGAGCGAGAGTGAGAGTGAGAGCGAGGGGGAAGCCTCGAGTGAAAGCGGGATGGAAAGCGGGACCACAAGCAAGCCCGAGATACCGGACAACAGCGGTACAGATAGTGCGATTGAGCCGAGTGCTTGTAACGACGCTAATGACGGAGACGTAGAAGAAGAAGAAGAAGAACAACAACAACAACAACAACAACAACAAGGAGAAGAAGGAGAAGAAGAAGATGATGATGATGAAGAAGAAGAGGAAGTGACGGCTGCGATGACACTGGGCGATTGGGGAGATGCGGACATCGAGGCGGGCGAGAGTCTGTTCCCAATGTTCGATGGGTGTGGACTGTTCCCTCTGATATCTGCCATTAACCATTCGTGTGAGGTAGGGTTGGTGTGGGATAGGTGGTGTGTGCGCCTGGTTGTTGTCTGGAAAAAAGCGTGTCTGTTGTGGGGTATAGCTTGTTTGTGAGGCCGTTCTACGGACAGAGTCCTCTGACATCTGCCATTAACCATTCGTGCGCGGTGAGAGATTGCCGTATGTGTCTGTGTGCACCCACCTCATCTGAACTCTGAACTGAACGCCTGTCGGTTGTGTTGTGAACCTATCATGTTCTATCGCAAGTCGTCTTCGCATCGGATGTGTCTGTGTGCACCCACCTCACCTGAAACTGAACGCCTGTCGGTTGTGTTGTGTATCTATCATGTTCTATCACAAGTCGTCGTCGCATCGTATGTGTCTGTGTGCACCCACCTCACCTGAACTCTAAACTGGACGCCTGTGTGTTGTGTTGTGTATCTGTCATGTTCTATCGCAAGTCGTCTTCGCATGTTTGACAGGTGCAGACAGTTGACTCTGACGTCGGTCATTAACTACTTCTCGTGCGAGATAGGTCTACCTGCCGGAGGGTGTGGCTGTGGGTGTCCCGCTAATTGGGTGCGGGGTTGTTGCCTTGTCGCATGTGTGGGTGTGCATGCTCAGTGTAAAGGCGGTGTTTAAATCTAAGTGCGGTGCTTATTCAAGCATTATCTGTGATTGTCTTATTTTCTTTCTTTCTTTCTTTCTTCAGCCCAACTGTAAGGTTACGTACGGTACCACCGGACGCGGCAAACTCGCACTCGAGCTGCGGAGCTTGTGTTCTATAAATAGCGATACGGAGATCACTATCAGCTACACAGCAACAGATCTGCCTGCCGAAGAACGACAGGAAATACTGGGCAAGTACGGGTTCAGGTGTAATTGTACTAAGTGTCAACGAGGCGATTAGAATGTGCTATAATTAATAAAATACCATTCGTCTATATTTATGCCTCTGCTAACTATGACAATACATCCAAAATAAACAAGTATTATATCATTTTAATTTGTACAGTATGCCTCGTTTGTGACAAGATATGTAATATAAGTAACACACGAATACCATTTCGCTATAGTTATACCTGTGATTTGTGATGACGATAGCAAAGGTCTAGAGCCGTACAAGCTAATGAGCGGTTGTAGACTCTTTATGTACAGATGCACATAAGTACGGGCGTATATAACTCCAATCAATAGCTCAGCCTGCGATGCCATCGGCCCTCAAGCGATACGACCACCTGCAATAATACTTTCATCCGCATGAAGACGACTAGCTTCTATACCATTCTAAAAAATACAATAACAGGCCCAACCAAGTGTCAGCGTATGTACTTAAAGAGTCTAGCATGTGTGAGCTCATATGCACTTTATCATCAGCCACCATGCCTAAGTTTGATTGGCCGGTGACGTTAAAGTGCTGCAGTTTTGGCGTTGCACGTAGAAGTGCCTCGCTTCCAGAGGGTTAACCTAAGTTGTACCTGCTCTGGCTACATTTCATCTATCATTTGTCCTTGTGATTCATTAATTCCAAGTCTACGCTTAATTGAGCACCTTTCAATTTAAAATATGACATCTTAAAACAACGCTTTCAGGAATGTAATTGGCATCGGGGTTGATGTGGTAGTGTGCTACTGTGAAATCATTCATCATTCGTGGATTGCTTGTGATACCACGGGTGTCACCTGCCCAGAGAAAGATATTGAAGGTTATGGTCTTTTGAAACAGTATTTATAACTAACAAAACCCATTATAGTGTAGGTTAATGTTAATATGTACTTGCACGTATAACTGTTCAGGTTATTAGCAACATACGTCTGTTGGCATCTACCCTCGTGTATATTTACCTGTTTTTAAAAGCGATTGATTTATATGTAATAGCCACATGAGTTGAGTGCACTCGTTAGAGAGAGAGAGTGCAGTACAGTACAGTAAATACAAAATTTCGGCATTTCATTCGTTTATCATTTTGGCGGAAAATAGATGTATTATGATGACTAAGTTTTGGAATTTGCGCGGGCTGAACTACAATTTAATTTGAAACAATTGGCTTAAAACCCAAAACCCTGACTTTGCTTTCTGTTCAGCACTACACTGGGCTGTGCACAGCGGAGTGAATACAGGACTTCACCAGGGGATAGATATTGTATTTTAAAATGAGTTCACCAACAATAATACATATTAAAACAACAAACGTCACGCATTCATATAGATATAGGTATAGTAGCTATAGGTAACAGTGTAACAGTGTGCTATATATCATACATATGTATACATATAGATATATATATATATATATATATATATATATGTATAGATGATAGTGCTACTGACTTTGTGGTTTTAGATTCCATCGATGGGTGTTGTATTATATTATCAACAACACAAGCCTTCACATGTCAATAACTCTGAGTGCAAACAAGTCACTGGCATCGAAAATACAGTGAATTAAATCAGCACATCAGATTACTACACTCAGCGCATACTTCCAATTCGCACAGTATTATCACTGTACTTGGAAACAGTCCATGGATACGAGACTATAGTGACTTATCTCATATCTGTGGAAAAACCATCGCAGCAAGTGCGAGCGATCATATCATATATACTTCTCACAACCCCTACATAAACTAGGCAACGGTCAAATATAGAGTCACTTATAAACAAACAGAAACACACTAAGGTCAACACCTCACACCTCACATCTCACAATGGACTTGTTCGAAGACAACATACAGTTGCGTCGCCGTCGGTCGAAGGCGAGCGCAGCGCACTATGTGGGCTATGTGGATGACGAAGAGAGTGCTGTGTCCATCATGAAGAAGTTTGAAGAGCTCGATAGGATCAAGGCTGTGATCAAGTATGTGTAACAATGCGGGTGGTTTGGATATATGTGAGGTAATGGAGGTTGTTGATGTACGCGATCTGTTGCTCGGTGCATCGGGTGGGCTATTGAGTGGTGAAGAAAGTGCCGGGTGGATTAAGAAGTAGTTTGGATCGCTCGACAAGATTGATACTGTGATCAAGTATATTCGTACTTCATATGTGTGGCCCCTCTGAGTAGGTGGATTGGTGTTAATGTATGCGCACAATCACAGTAGATTCATTCCCGCAGATGTGCTGTATCTATATTTTGAACTCATAATTAATTGTTCATTAAGCTGCGCCTGGAGCGGATCTGAAAGCCACTCAGTGTATAGAATTGATCAGTGTCGCTAAGGCCAAAGATATCACTGTGTCATTGTATGAGTGTGTCTGTATTTGATACAATATAAGTACGATATATTTGTTTATATCTTCTCAGGCTTTTAGTTGTGAAGTACACACGGCACGTGCATCAATGTGTGTGCATGTCTTAACGTGCACCTCTGACTAACATTTACGTGTGATGGTACTTGATCACATACATATGTACATTTAATTCAGATATGCGAGCACACCCACACCTATATATGGGTACCTGTATCTGTAAGTGCTTATACAAACGGAGCCGTGTCGGAGCATACTCGTCGAGAGATGTGATTGTGGCTCTATTTGATTTAGTGTGATGATTAATCACCAAATGAATTATTTGGAGGTGTTTTCACTTCTCACCATGAATGTGCCATGATTACAAACCCCACGTGGTCTTATGTACGTGGAGGTTTTAGCTCCTGTGATGTTTGTATCTTTGGCGTGACTGGCCCATGCAGCTGATGGAATACTGAGGAAAATGCCACAGGTCAAACGTTTTGCAAACGGCTTGTTTGGTCTGGCCAAGTGTCAACACTTATTAGCTCACATCCACTATATTAGTAGTACAAATTAACCTGAATGTTCCATGTGTAATTCATTGGATATGCGCGTGGGATAGTGCTGCAGGGTATAGTTTACGAGCGGTCACAATGTTTAGTATGTATTGTTGGTATGACACGCACCTAGTGTCAGAGTGCTATGGGTATGTTATCGTACTCTCACGCTGTCATCCTGGGTATTCAAAAAAGCAGGCGTGCTATGGATTTGACTTGAATACAAAGTCTACTGCTGGCACCTTATGGTGTATGTATATATTTATCAGAATAACACCGCTTTTTGGTGTATTTATATCAGCATAACACCGCTTTTTGGTATATTTATATCAGAATAACACCGCTTTTTGGTATATATATACATATATATCATAATAACGCTATGGCTGAAATGAGGCGTGTGCTGTGGGAGTGTTGTGTAGTGAAAGATCTCGAAAGCCAACACGAAATGTTTTATACCTGCGCAGGGAGACGGCGCCCGAATTGCCAAATAAGGGTAAGAATGCAGCGAAGGAGACAGACGATTTGCTCACACAAGAACAACTGGAAGAGGTCTTCAAGCGCACGTCGATGTTCTCCGCCCGATCGCTACAAAGTATGTTATACACACTGTATTTAAGAAGTTATAAAAAACCAGGTTTATATCGAGGTTTATCCCGGGTATGTACCGCATTGAATACTTGTATATGTATCGGCGTATCCCGGGTCGTACCACCAGCATTCATTCGAAGTAAGCGTGTTCTAGGCGGAGCTGTGGCGTTGTTCTATACCGTCGATGTTCCAGGTAGTTGTTGTGGTGGTTTGGTGGCCCTGGGGAGTGTAGCCACCAGATTATAGAATGGATTCTTTATACTCGCGCGACGAAAAGGGACGTGTTTAAACCACAGTTAGAACTTCACTCAAGAATACACCCTACATATACGACATGTATATTGTATATGTAGGTACACAATAGGTTTGTATGGTGCTATGATTTTGATACACTATATTAACAGTATAGCAAGGTGAAGAACCGCCCGCTCATGTCACAGCAGCGACGCACTTTAGCGGCAGTAAGGTCTGGGGTTTGTCTACGCCATCCTACGTTATATTATATACTCAAGCGTCTAGAGTTTTGGACTTGTATATAGTTAGATATACTATCTGTAGGTACATACATATACACGGAATCAGCGAATACTGAATACTAGCTGATTTAGACGATAGAACGGATTGGCAGCAAAGTCTATCAGTGCACACACAAACTAGAAACTACGGGGCCACAAGTCGTTACTAAATATTGCGATACATGCATATGTTGCTATACATGTGCGTATGAATTCACACACATGTGCTTATGGTGTATGCATGTCTCGGTGTCTGCTATCATACATGTGAGTGTAAATCCACACACATGGGTTTATGGTGCACGTATGTCTCTATGTCCACTGTCATACATGTGTGTATAATTCTATACACATGTGCTTATTGTGAATGCATGTCTCAAAGTTCTGTAGGGCCCACATACGATTCACAACCTACAACGCCCCATTTTGCGATAGGAATCTACTCTTGTAGAGATCTACATAGACATAGGCGTTTATGTTTGCACACATCTCAATTAGGTGTGTACATTTCTCGTGACCCGCAGACGGGCTTTATATGCATGTACCAATCCGTTTCCACTCACCTGCGACCACTGCACCGCTGTATAGATGGCCAACGAAGACCACAATATCAAATGGAAGAGCTGAATGAGTGGCAGGACAGCCTGTTCATGCGGGATCGAAGTGATGACGAGTATGACGCCTCATGGAGTGATGATGACGAACTGTGGGAGACTCACCCCGCAAAGAAACCAAGGAAAGTGCGCACCGCCGGAGCCAAAGTACCTAAGGTATATATACCGGGGATAGGATAGCGTTGAGTATGATTTGTTCACCCTGTCTGTGAAGTGTGTTAGTATGTTTGATTTGAAGCGGGTGGGGAGTTGTTGTGTGTAGGACAATACTTCACCCACATCGTTGTACGGTCATTCCATCCACGCCACAAATTACGAGGGTAGTAGCAGACATACCATATAACAGACAGGGCAGGATGATTAACAGTGACAGACAGACACTATTCCAATCATTCACACGTGTTGAGAGGTCAGGAGGGTGTGTGGAGACGGCAGCATGCGTTGGTCAGTGGATACTGCGCTGGGGTATTGCCGGTACCTCTGTAGCGGTGGGGAAAAGTGGGCATCCCCCGGCCACACTCAGAGCACTATAACATCGCTCTCACTCACGTACACGCACATACCCGCTAGATACATGGCTGAAGGTCACACGCACTCGCATACTACTCAGATGTATGAGACGAGGACGGGCCCGTACTTGGTCTCACATATATGACAATACGACACGCACACACACACGCACCCAAACTTCACAGATATGTCTATGTGACTCTTATACACCCGTAGACCATTGGAGGAATGACAATAGGGTGTGCACGCTCACAGAGCCTTTACACGTGCGGTCAATAGGAGAGCACGCTCACATAAGCATCACAAGGCCGCACACTGCCACATACCCGTGTATAGCCATACGACACTCGCACTCACATATCCTGCACACGTACGACAATCGGACACGCACACTCACATATCGATCACTAATCTGCCCGCAGGCCAAAGCTGCAGCTGCGCGCGAATCCACCACAACCAGCGGGTACGGGTCGGGTGTGCGCAAGCGGTCCAACTGGGACGATCCCGAAAGGTGCTTAAACGATCCCTGTAAGCCTACCTACGTGAGGATACCTCTGCCAATGAATGCTGCATGGGCTGGGTCGTGGAGGCTGCTGTCCGATATGGCCCCTAAATATGACCTGCCCTGTTCAGAGTATGTTGTGTTGCAGTGCTGTGGGTGTGCTCGGTTGATGGAGGCTCCTGTCAGCTATGTCCCCTACATATGACCTGCCCTGTTCAGAGTATGTTGGGTTGCAGTGCTGTGTGTGTGCTCGGTTGATGGAGGCTGCTGTCAGCTATGTTCCCTACATATGACCTGCCCTGTTCAGAGTATGTTAGGTTGCAGTGCTGTGTGTGTGCTCTGTTGATGGAGGCTGCTGTCAGCTATGTCCCCTACATATGACCTGCCCTGTTCAGAGTATGTTGGGTTGCAGTACTGTGTGTGTGCTCTGTTGATGGAGGCTGCTGTCAGCTATGTCCCCACATATGACCTGCCCTGTTCAGAGTATGTTGGGTTGCAGTGCTGTTTGTGTGCTCGGTTGTATGCTGGAGAATGGGTTGCGTAGGTATAGTTCCGCCTTTGTGTGGAAGCACCTACGTGGTATCACTGCCTCTGAATGCCGCAAGGGGTGGGTTCTAGTGGTTACTGTCAGATATGGCTCTCAAATTTGAGCTGCCCTGTCTAGAGTACGTTGTATGTTTCGTATGGTTGAGAGGATGTGTACTGAGGAACGGGTGGAGTATGTATGGGTAGACACGGGAGAACACACACACTTGTGGGTGTTCTTGGCTTTGAATGCGAAATGGGCTGTGCCTTACTGTTTACCTTTAAACATAGTCTCTGCATATGGCCTGTGACGCTCAGTTTACATTGAGTTATATGTAAAAGTTGGAGAGAGAGGGAGGGGGGGGGGGGGGAGGGGAGTGGTCGGAAACTGGACTGGTTATACATTGATCCTCGTTGTACATGCGTATGCGTGATGTGCCACGGCCTGTGTATCGCACATGGAATAAACACGAAGGATCATTGCCAGAAATGGTCTATCAGCAGTAGGTGGCGACGCTTATTATAGCATAGTAGGGTGCTCTTTAGCTTATTATAGTGTAGTAAGGTTCTCTTTAGCTTTTTAGTTTAGCAAGGTGCTTTTAGTCTCGCTACACAATCAAGCTTGAGGTAGGGTGCACGGCTCTTATGATGTTGAGCCATTGCCAGCGGTCGATATGGCACACTTCCGCGAAACGCAAACACAAACAACCCACTCACAATCTGTATACAAACACGCTTCATACACAAGCCCAATCTTCGCGTGCGTAGGCTAAACACGTGCTAAACGTTCGACAAATAAACGGGTATTTGATTCTTATCGCCACACGCCATCAAACACGTGCGAAACGTTCGACAAATAAACGTTTATTTGGTTCCTATCTCCACACGCCTTCAGATACCATGAAGTGAATCTCCAAACAACGGATGTGGCGGAGCTAGTCCAGAGAGAAGACTTCCAGTGCATCTACATGGATCCACCTCTGTGCACACTCGGCGAGGAACCGAGGCCTGGCGATATAACCATGGCGCAATTGGTAAGCTATGCGTGTGGTGCATGCGGTACCGGCGTATGGTTCATCGGGGTAGTGAGAGAGTATGTCAAGGAGTCAATCATGAGACAAGCGGTGAGCGTGTGTGGGTGTGTACCATGATAGGGTTTGAGGGTTTAGGGTTTATGGTTTATACTACACGGTGTTGTATCTGCGTACAGTCGTGAATGTACGACGTAGTAGGTACATCACTTTATTCGATCTTCGCGCAAGCAAACAGGTATCCTCTCCCGCCAAACCTCCGTCTGCTTTAGGGTTATAGGGTTTAGCACAACCACACAATGCCATTTCTCCCGTGTGTTTGCATCGACGTTCGTCGTTCAACCTCTCCGTGGCTTGGGTTTGCTTCCACCAGCGCATAGTTTGTTTTGCTCTGACATCATCTGATGAGGTTTCCCTACCGCATACTATCAATGAACACTTATTTTACTAGCAACTACTCATATGCCTCCCTCGTACCCGCTTGTTTGTCCGAGTCTTTCGGATCCTCCATTCACATCGCACTT